AGTAGAAGGAAATGGACACCAAGGAGAGATATGAAGGACTTGGAGAAGATGATGGACACCAGGATGGGCCCAGCAGGAGAAGATGATGGACACCAAGGAGAGACCTGGAGGAGATGATGGACCCCAGGATGGGTCCTGGAGAAGCAGGAGGAGATGGACACCAAGGAGAGATATGAAGGACTGGGAGAAGATGATGGACACCAGGATGGGTCCAGAAGGAGGAGATGGACACCAAGGAGAGATATGAAGAATTTGGAGAAGATGATGGACACCAGGATGGGCCCAGGAGAAGCAGGAGGAGGTGATGGACCCAAAGTTGGGTCTTGGAGGACCTGGAGAACATGATGGACACCAGGAGAAGATGATGGACACCAGGATGGGTTCAGGAGAACCAGGAGATGATGAACCCCAAGGTGGCTCCAGGAGTTGATGGTGGACACCAAGATGGATTCAGAAGGACTAGGAGGAGATGGTGGACACCAAGATTGGTCCAGGAGTTGATGGTGGACACCAGGATGGGTTCAGAAGAACCATGAGGAGATGATGAACCCCAAGATGTCTTCAGGAGCTGATGGTGGACACCAAGATTGGTCGAGGAGGACCATGAGAAGATGCTGAACCCCAAGATGTCTCCAGGAGTTGGTGATGGACACCAGGATGGGTTCAGGAGAACCATGAAGAGATGCTGGACCCCAAGATGTCTCCAGGAGCTGATGGTGGACACCAGGATGGGTTCAGAAGAACCATGAGGAGATGATGAACCCCAAGATGTCTCCAGGAGCTGNGGACCTTCTCCACCTTGGGGACCTCCCCCAGGACTTGGTGGCCATTTTGGGACCAACCCCCCAATTTTGGGGACCGTCCCATTTTGGGGGACCCCCCCTCCCAGCCTTGGGGACCATCCCAGGATCTTGGGGACCCCCCCACTGTGGGGACCTCTCCATTTTGGGGACCTGATGGACATTGGGGGCACCAAGGTGGGACCTGGAGGAGATCTGAGGTCACCAAGGTGGGACCTGGAAGTGGTGGGGGCACCAAGGTGGGACCTGGAGAAGGTTTGGGGTCACCAAGGTGGGACCTGATGGACATTGGGGTCACCAAGGTGGGACCTTGAGGATCTGAAGAACATTGAGGAGAACCAAGGTGGCACCTGCTGGGGATTGGGGTCACCAAGGTGGGACCTGATGGACATTGGGGTCACCAAGGTAGAACCTGGAGAAGGTTTGGGGTCACCAATGTGGGAAATGGGAGTGATGGGGACACCAAGGTGGGACCTGCTGGAACTTGGGGATCACCAAGGTGGGACCTGGTGGAGATTGGGTGTCACCAAGGTGGGACCTGGAGAAGGTTTGGGGTCACCAAGGTGGGACCTGGTGGAGATTGGGGTCCATCAGGGTGGCATGTGGAGGAACCAAAGGAGATTTGGGAGCACCAAGGTGGGACCTGGAAGTGGTGGGGGCACCAAGGTGGGTCCTGCTGGAGATAGGGAGTCACCAAGGTGGGACCTGTTAGAGATTTGGTGTCACCAAGGTGGGACCAGGAGAGGTGGAACCTGGAAGTGGTGGGGGCACCAAGGTGGGACCTGCTGGAGATTTGGTGTCACCAAGGTGGGACCTGGAGAAGGTTTGGGGACACCAAGGTGGGACCTGGAGAAGGTTTGAGATCACCAAGGTAGAACCTGCTGGAGATTTGGGGTCACCAAGGTGGGACCTGGAAGTGGTGGGGACACCAAGGTGGCACCTGCTGGAACTTGGAGGACCCCAAGGTGGGACCTGGAGGAGATCTGGGGTCACCAAAGTGGGACCTGGAAATGGTGGGGGCACCAAGGGGGTCATAGTGGAAGTTGGAGGTCACCAAGGTGGGACCTGGTGGATCTGAAGAAGATTGAGGGGCACCAAGGTGGGGCCTGCTGGAGAGTGTCCAAGGTTGAACCTGGAGGAGATCTGGGGTCACCAAGGTGGGACCTGGTGGAGACTGGGGGGTCCATCATGGTGGGACCTGGAGGACCTGGAGGAGATATGGGGTCACCAAAGTGGAACCTGGTGGAGATTTGGGGTCACCAAGGTGGGACCTGGCAGAGGTGGGAGCACCAAGGTGGGACCTGCTGGAGATTGGGGTCACCAAGGTGGGACCTGGAGAAGGTTTGGGGTCACCAAGGTGGGAAATGGGAGTGATGGGGGCACCAAGGTAGGACCTGATGGACATTGGGGATCACCAAGGTGGGACCTGGTGGAGATTTGGTGTCACCAAGGTGGGACCTGGAAGTGGTGGGGTCACCAGGGTGGGACCTGGAGAAGGTTTGGAGTCACCAAGGTGGGACCTGGAGGATCTGAAGAAGATTGAGGGGCACCAAGGTGGGGCCTGCTGGAGGTTGGAGATGACCAAAGTGGAACCTGGAGATCTGGGGTCACCAAGGTGGGACCTGGAGTTTGTGGGGGCACCAAGAAGGTCCTCCTGGAACTTGGGGGTCACCAAGGTGAGACCTTGAGAAGTTTTGGTGTCACCAAGGTGGGACCTGCTGGAGACTGGAGGACCCCAAGGTGAGACCTGATGGACATTGGGGGTCATCAGGGTGGGACCTGGAGAAGGTTTGGGCTCACCAAGGTGAGACCTGGAGGAGATCAGGGACACCAAGGTGGGCTGGGCAGGACCAGGTGGAGATGGGTGCCCTGGTGGGTCCTGGAGGAGATGGTGGACACCAGGGTGGGTCCAGAAGGAGGAGATGGACACCAAGGAGAAACCTGGAGGAGATGATGGACCCCAGGATGGGCCCAGCAGGAGAAGATGATGGACACCAAGGAGAGATATGAAGGACTTGGAGAAGATGATGGACACCAGGATGGGCCCAGAAGGAGAAGATGATGGACCCCAGGATGGGCCCAGAAGGAGAAGATGGACACCAAAGAGAGATATGAAGGATTTGGAGAAGATGGTGGACACCAGGATGAGTCCAGGAGAAGCAGGAGGAGGTGATGGACCCAAAGTTGGGTCTTGGAGGACCTGGAGAACATGATGGACACCAGGAGAAGATGATGGACCCCAGGATGGGCCCAGCAGGACCCAGAGTTGATGGTGGAGCCCAAGATGGGTTCAGGAGGAGATGCTGCACCCATCTCCAAGATTGGTCCAAGTGTTGGATGGACACCAAGATGGGTTCAGGAGAACCAAGAGGAGATGCTGAACCCCACGGTGGCTCCAGGAGTTGATGGTGGACACCAAGATGGATTCAGAAGGACCAGGAGGAGTTGGTGGTCCAGGAGATTGGTCCAGGATTTGATGGTGGAGACCAGGATGGGTTCAGGAGGACCAGGAGGAGATGGTGGACCCCAAGATGGCTCCAGGAGTTGATGGTGGACCTCAAGATGGGCCCAGGAGGAGATGGTGGACACCAGGGTGGGCCCAGAAGAACCAGGAGTTGATGGTGGACACCAGGATGGGCCCAGAGGAACCAGGAGGAGATGGTGGACACCAAGATGACTCCAAGAATTGATGGTGGACCCTCAGATAGGTTCAGGAGGACCAGGAGGAGATGATGAACCCCAAGATGTCTCCAGGAGCTGATGGTGGACACCAAGATTGGTCGAGGAGGATCAGGAGGAGATGCTGGACCCCAAGATGTCTCCAGGAGCTGATGGTGGACACCAGGATGGGCTCTAGAGTTGGATGGACCCCAAGATGTCTCCAGGAGCTGATGGTGGACACCAGGATGGCCCCAGGAGCTGATGGACACCAGGATGGCCCCAGGAGAACCAGGAGCAGATGGGAGGTCCTGGACAGCTCCAACAGGGCCGGGCAGCCCCGGTGGCTCCAGGACAGGTCCTGGTGGTGCCAACGTGGTGGGACAGGATGGACACGGGGACACGAGGGGACATCGGCTCCTCCAGGATGGACAATCGGCCACCGCTCCCATGGGCACCTCCCAGGTCTCCTCCCCGGGGTGGACAATTGTCACTGAGGTCCCCTGGTGTCCAGGTGACCTCCTCAACCCCATGGAGATCCCTCAGGACCAGGATGTTCCTCGGGACCCCCCAGAGAGGAACCGGGCGGTGACACAGCCAGAAGGTCGGGGTGGACCTCGAGGACTTCTCCTTGTCCGGGTGGGGATGGATGGAGACAATCCCTGGATGTTCTCTGTCCAGGAGTTCCTGGTGGAGATGGAGCTCAGCACGAGGGGAGGGTGGAGAAGCTCATGGAGCTCCTGGTTCTTGGTGGAGATGGAGCTCAGCACGTGGTGGAGAACCTCGTGGACCTCCTGGTTCTTGGTGGAATTGGAGCTCACCACGTGGTGAAGTTGGAGAACCTCATGGATCTCCTGCTCCTTGGTGGAGATGGAGCTCACCACATGGTCCAGAACCTCATGGACCTGCACCTTCTCAGTGAAGATGGAGCTCACCACGTGGTGGAGAACCTCATGGACCTCCAGGTTCTTGGTGTAGATGGAACTCACCACGTGGTGAGGTTGGAGAATCTCATGGATCTCCTGTTTCTTGGTGGACATGGAGCTCACCAGGTGGTGCAGAACCTCACAAATCTCCAGGTTCTTGGTGGAGATGGAGCTCCCCACATGGTGAAGAACCTCACGGACCTCCAGGTTCTTGGTGGACATAGAGCTCACCACATGGACCTCCAGGTTCTTGGTGGAGATGGATCTCAGGGATCTCAGTGGAGATGGAACTCACAACATGGTGAAGAACCTCATATGGACCTCCTGTTTCTTGGTGGAGATGGAGCTCCCCATGTGGTGAGGAACCTCCTGTTCCTGGTGCAGAGGTGCCACCACGTGGTGGAGAACCTCCTGGTGGAGATGGATCTCCCCACATGGTGAAGAACCTCATATGGACTTCCTGTTTCTTGGTGTAGATGGATCTCCCCATGTGGTGAGGAACCTCATGGACCTCCAGGTTTTGGTGGACATGCAGCTCCCCACATGGACCTCAGGGTTCTTGGTGGAGATACAGATCACCACATGGTGGAGAACCTCATGGACCTCCAGGTTCCTGGTGGAGATGGGTGCCACACGTGGTGAGGAACCTCCTGGTGTTCCTGGTGGAGATGGTTGCCACCACGTGGTGAGGAACCTCCTGGTTCATGGTGTATGATGGGTGCCACCACGTGGTGAGGAACCTGCTGCTCCTGGTGGAGATGGGTGCCACCACGTGGTGANAGCTGATGGTGGACACCAGGATGGGTTCAGAAGAACCATGAGGAGATGATGAACCCCAAGATGTCTCCAGGAGCTGATGGTGGACACCAGGATGGCCCCAAGAGAACCATGAAAAGATGCTGGACCCCAAGATGTCTCCAGGAGCTGATGGACACCAGGATGGGTTCAGGAGAACCATGAGGAGATGGTGGACCCCAAGATGTCTCCAGGAGTTGGGTGGACACCAGGATGGGACCATGAGGAGATGCTGGACCCCAAGATGTCTCCAGGAGTTGGATGGACACCTGGATGGCCCCAGAAGAACCAGGAGCAGATGGGAGGTCCTGGGACAGCTCCAACAGGGCCGGGTAGCCCCGGTGGTTCCAGGACAGGTCCTGGTGGTGCCGACGTGGTGGGACAGGATGGACACGGGGACACGAGGGGACATCGGCTCCTCCAGGATGGACAATCGGCCACCGCTCCCATGGGCACCTCCCAGGTCTCCTCCCCGGGGTGGACAATTGTCACTGAGGTCCCCTGGTGTCCAGGTGACCTCCTCAACCCCATGGAGATCCCTCAGGACCAGGATGTTCCTCGGGACCCCCCAGAGAGGAACCGGGCGGTGACACAGCCAGAAGGTCGGGGTGGACCTCGAGGACTTCTCCTTGTCCGGGTGGGGATGGATGGAGACAATCCCTGGATGTTCTCTGTCCAGGAGTTCCTGGTGGAGATGGAGCTCAGCACGAGGGGAGGGTGGAGAAGCTCATGGAGCTCCTGGTTCTTGGTGGAGATGGAGCTCAGCACGTGGACCTCCAGGTTCTTCATGAAGATGGAGCTCACCACGTGGTGGAGAACCTCATGGACCTCCTGGTTCTTGGTGGAGATGGAGCTCAGCACGTGGTGGAGAACCTCATGGACCTCCAGGTTCTTGGTGGAATTGGAGCTCACCATGTCGTGGAGAACTTCACAGACCTCCAGGTTCTTGGTGAAGATGGAGTTCACTGCATGGTGAAGTTGGAGAACCTCATGGATCTCCTGCTCCTTGGTGGAGATGGAGCTCCTCACATGGACCTCAGGGTTCTTGGTGGAGATGGAGCTCAGGGATCTCAGTGGAGATGGATCTCCCCACGTGGTGAGGAACCTCCTGTTCCTGGTGGAGATTTGTAGAACCTCACGGATCTCCAGGTTCTCAGTGGAGATGGATCTCGCCACGTGGTGAAGAACCTCATATGGACCTCCTGTTTCTTGCTGGAGATGGATCTCGCCACGTGGTGAGGAACCTGCTGTTTCTGGTGCAGAGGTGCCACCACGTGGTGAAGAACCTCCTGTTCCTGATGGAGATGGATCTCCCCACGTGGTGAAGAACCTCATATGGACCTCCTGTTCCTGGTG